TCCAAACTTGAATTAAAAAAAGTTCTTCAAGCTTTAAATATAAAAGCTTCGGATGATGAATTACAAAAATTATTACAGAAAATGGATACTGATAATAGTGGTGAAATCGATTATAATGAATTTAAAAAAGTTATGAGCGAATCATTTTTTAAAAAATATTCTAAACAAGACCTTGAAGCTGCATTTAAAAAATTCGATGCCGATAATAATGGTTTTATAACAACACATGAACTTAGTCATATATTATCGCGAATGGGAAGACATATAAGTCAAAATGACGTTAATGCAATGATCAAATCATTAGATTCAAGTGGTGATGGAAAAATTTCACTCGATGAATTTTGTAAACTATTTGATTGAAAACCTTTTCTTTTTGTTTTCATTTTAAAATAACATTCCTGTATCCGAAAAATGTATGTCCTCTATTTTAATATTGTTTTGTTCTATTTAGAAAAATAATAAAAACTAAATTTTTATCGTTGTTCTGACAAGTAAAATATATTACTACAACATCCTTGATTCTATATATGAAGTTTATTATATGCTAATAGAACTTATCATCTCATTAATGAATGGAACACTATAACCTCCTACTTTTAGATTTTACGTTGAAAACAGTAAAAATATGATATATGTCTATTCATCCTAAAGTCCACTTGCGGTTCTGTTCTATCCTTGATGTATATCGTATATTCTAGGTACTTTTTTATTTCAAAAGAATAACCGGACATTTTTAATTATTTAGAGAATGGTAAAAAATTGAAAAATCTATTCTTGTTATGATGAAAAAAGATCAAAATGAATAAATAATAAACCCATGTACTCATGTTAAAATGAAAGTAATCTTTTCAGGTGTTCGATTTCAATGAACAAAAGTTGTAGAAAAGTGACTTCTATACCTCACACTTGTTTATAATGATGATACATAAATATAGAACATGGTACTCCAGTTTGTTTTCTTTGCATTATCAGTTAATAACCTAGTCATATTCGGATCAAACTATCACTCTCAGTGCTAAACTACTAAATTTAAAATATAAGCTGCTAAAGGTTGTCTTATATTATAAACTTAGTAGTTTAGCGCTGAGAGTGGTAATTTGATCTAAATATGGCTAGTTTATTAACTGATGATATAAAGGAAGTAAATTAGGATATCATAGTAGTTTGCCACGCCCATATAAGAGAAAAAAGCACAGAGGAAGTAAAATCATGCATGAATAAATGATTCCCCTATATTTACTTGTAAATATGTCTAGTACTTTACCTTTACAACATTTTTTTGGCAATAGTCAATTCATACGCTTTATTTGAAGTAAGAATGTTCGATTAGTAAATGGAAAAAAACAATACTCTTCCTAGTTTTGTCTTATTGAAGTAGTTTAAAAGCAAATGCATGTATAATACTGTTTTTTTAATCATATTTATTACTGACTATATTGAATGGGTTAAAATACCATTAAATGATTTCGGCATAATCGAGTATGTAGTTTTTCTTCTATATTGTTATAATATAAAAGAGTAAAAAATGTATTCATTTTTGGCAAAGATTACTTGTAACGAAAAGCGTTTAGATGGTACTGGATATTGATGAAGTTAAACGCTTCAACAGTGAGCATATATCAGAAAACGACGAAGATGATAATACATTTCATGGAAATCAAGAAAGTATTACACTTATATGGTTTGATAAAAGTATCGATTTAAATTCGAAAGATATTCAATTAACAAAAACTATGTTAAAAGAAATTAATGATTATATTATATTATTTACTAATATTGATGTCTGTATACAATATATTGAATCAATAAAATCAGAGATAATATTTCTGATTGTATCCGGAAGTGATGCACATAATCTATTGTCAAAAATACATAATCTTCGTCAAATTGATAGCATCTTCATATTTTGCATGGATAAATTAAAATATGATAAATCATTGATTGGAAAAGGTGATTATTATAAAATAATTGATATCTTCACTGAGCAAAGCAGCCTAATTAAAAGTATTCAACGTACTATTCAATTAGTTGAAAGACAAATGGATATTTTTAGTTTATATAGTCAAAATCAAAAATCGATACGAAATTTAACGAAAGAATCTGCATCATTCATATGGCATCAACTTTTAAAGGAGGTTCTACAAAAAATGCCAAGTGGGGATAAAAATGCAAAACAAGAAATGATCGAAAAATGTCGTCTATATTATCGCGGTAACAAAAAAGAATTAAAAAATATTGATGATTTTGATAAAAATTATTCTGTTAATAATGCAATCAAATGGTATACAAAAGATAGTTTTCTATTTAAATTAATAAATAAAGCTTTACGAACAGAAGATGTTGCAGCATTATATACATTTCGTTTTTATCTAATTGATTTATGTTCTCAGTTAGTGATTAATCATGAAATGGTATTAGATTGTGGTAAGCCATTAAAACTTTATCGCGGAATAAGACATTCAAAAGATGAAATTGAGCGTTTAAAAGATAGTATTGGTCATTTAATATTAACAAATGGATTTCTTTCCACAAATGATAATATAGAAGTAGCTGAGATGTATGCTGGAATTACAGATATGAATCCTAATGGTAACAGAAATGATTTTGAACCAGTTATTTTTGAAATTGATTATGATACAAATAAACACTCAACGGCCATAATAGCTAATATTTCGTGTTATAGTCAATTTCGAGATGAACAAGAGTTTTTATTTGATCTTGGAACAGTTTTTCAAATAGAAGAATTTCTTATAAACAAGAGCGAAAATGCTGGGTATGCAAAATGATACCGTCTGATAAAGGTTCAGAAATAGCCAGAGAATATCTAGAATTTCAAAGAAATGAAATGAATAATGGAAAATTAAATACGTTCATTTTATTTGGTGATTTACTTTATGATATGGGAGAATATATTAAATGTCGTAATTATTTTCAGAATTTATTAAGTCATCAATCTATGCAAGATTCATCTATTGTCATTGATATTTACACAGGATTAGGACAAGCATTAATTGGAACAACTCAAATCGATTTATCACAAAAGTACCTTCAAGATGCTTATGATTTATCTCTCACTATCGAATCATCTCCTGGTAGACGTGCTAAAATATTAAGTCGTATCGGTGATATATATAGGTACCAAGGCAAATTTAATTATGCACTGGATTGTTGTTTCAAAGGATTGAAGCTTCTTCGAAAAGATACGGAGAATAGAGTACTTATTGCATATTTGCTAAGCAAAATTGCTGGAGTGTATTATGATAAAGGACAAGACGATTTATCATTGGAATACACGAAAAAATCATATAAATATCTTGAAAATTCGGCACCTGAAGATCATCCATACATGACTAGATATTATAATGATATGTGTAGGATTCATTATCATAAAGGATCTTATGATCTAGCATTATATTATCAAGTAAAAGCGTATGAAAACGATAAAAAAATCTTTCCTGCTGATAACCACATGTATTTTAGTGTGGATACTAATAATATTGGTAAATGCTATTATAAAAAATACGAATATGAGCAAGCTATGATATATTTTCGACAAAGTTTGGATATAGCACGAAAAGTATTAAAAAATGATGATAATTACTTAGACATGGGCATAGAAATTAATAATATTGGAAAATGTTTCTACCGACAAAAAAATTACTCCCAGGCATTGAAACAGTATCATATTATGTTACAATTATTAGAAAAGGCTAATTTAAAAGATCATGTGGATATGGCTTATACATTAAAAAATATTGGTGAAGTTTATTTAGATCTATTAAACTTTGATCTGGCATTAGATTATTTTGATCAAGCACTTTTTATATATAAAAAGATATTTAATGATTTAGAGCATCGTGATATAGCAAAATGTTTAAATCTTATTGGACAAATTTACTATTATAAAAATACTAACGATGATGAAACATGTTTAAATTATTACAATAAAGCATTAGAAATATGGAAAAATGTTTTACCTTCTAATCATTGAGATTTAGCATTATGTTACAAAAACATCACTCTTTTCTATTTAAATAGAAAATTTGACTATATTCAAGCAGAAAACTATTTTCTTATTTCATACGATATATACAGACACGTATTAGCAGCTAATCATCCTCATTTAAATGAAATCTATGATATTATGCAAATGATATTAAAATGCAAACAAAAAGCAATACTATTCATGATTATTGATACTTTTAAATTAATTTTATTTTTGATTTTATTTACGATTGGATTCTTAATCTAACACTGTAATTATTTTATGTTTGAATATATATGCCAGAATATAAAAAGAAATTTAGTTCATGTTAAAATTTTGATCTAAACTAGTCGAAGAGGAGATGTAATAAGTGATGAAAACATAATTTGTTAGTACGACTATGTAGAATTTATCTGACATATGAATACACACAATAATGAGAAGAAATAGAATACGCAACAGCTTTTACATTTCAAACTATTGCCACTATGATATTTTGTACAAGAAATCTTGAGGGTATGTGTAGGTATGGATGTCAATGCGTAGGCGAAATAGAATACCTAGACTCAAAATGTATTCTAACGCGTTAAATATGTTTCAGGCACGCATTGAGAGGCAATTCATTTTTTCTAATTGCGTTTCAAAGCTTTGTATATATCACGACCTGAAATGTGAAATATATACTAACACCATCTACGAAAAGGAAAAGAAAGAACGAAAAAAAAACGAACGATAACAATCTATGTCCATACATCACAGTATAGAAAAAGTGCGTCAAAGCACGTTTTTTTCGAATCATATTTCAACGCATTGATTTTGCATTTCGTGCGTAGATGGGTTGTTTTTCACCATGATATATACGATTTTTAATATAAAAGGTGTTGCCAGGCATAATAAATAAATGAAAAACAACTACATATGAAATAGAGACACTATAAAATGAGTTACTTTTAGATTCTTTTACTTGTCAATTTTTATCAAACAAGTCGAATACAATACATTCACATTAGAAATAATGGAACATCAAGAATCAACAACTGCTACTGCATTCATTGATGTAAAACAGGATGAGCCAGCATCTGCTTTTCCCACGAATGCAACAGAAAATCGACGTATGAACATGCAAAATGCCCTCCTGATTTGGTTGGACAACAGCATTGACAGTAATAATGCTGATTGTAATAATATAATCAAACAATTGAAACGTGTTGTTAACAACGTAAACACATTTACAGATGGTGAACAATATGTTGAATTTATTCAAACCATTACTAATAACAAAGTATGCATGATTGTTTCCGATTCACTTGGACAGCATATTGTGCCTAATGTACATCATATGTCTCAAATAGATACCATTTTTATTTTTTGTAATACCCAAGAATCACATGAGCAATGGACCAAAGAATGGCCTAAAATAAAAGGAGTCTTCACAGATATTACATCAATCTGTGAAGCTCTGAAACAAGCTGCTCAGCAATGTGAGCAAAATGCCATCTCAATCAGTTTTGTAGCTTCAGAAAAGGAATTCGATCAATTAGATTCAACCTTTATATATACTCAGATCTTGAAAGAGATCTTATTAACCATCAAGTTTGAAGATGAACATTTCAAAGAATTTATTGCTTATTGTCGTGGTATATACGAAGATGATGAAAATGAATTGAAAAATGTTAATCAATTACAAACAACATACAAAGACAACACACCCATATGGTGGTATACAAGGAATGCATTTTTATATTCGATGCTGAATCAAGCATTAAGATCAATGGATGTTGATATGATCATTCGAATGGGTTTTTTTGTTAATGATCTACATCATGATATTAAACGACTCCATTCGGAACAATTTGATGGTGAACCATCAGGTAAAACATTTACCGTTTATCGTGGACAAGGTCTTTCAAAAGAAGATTTCAGCAATATGACAAAAGCTAAAGGTGGACTTATTTCATTTAATAACTTCTTATCGACTGGTAAAAATCGTGATATGTCTCTGACACTTGCCCAACAAGCTGCTACAAATCCTGATCTTGTTGGAGTTTTATTTATTATGTCCATTGATCCTACTGTGGCAACAACTCCATTTGTTTCTATTAGTGGTGTTAGTTATTTTCATACGGAAGATGAAGTTCTCTTCTCCATGCATAGCATGTTTTCCATTGGAGATATTAAACCAATAGATGAAAACAATCATCTCTATCAAGTGAATTTAACATTAAACAATGACAACGACCATGATCTTCTTACTCTTACAGATCGTATTCGGCAAGATACCTTCCCAGGATCGAATGGATGGTACAGATTAGGTCAATTGTTAATTAAAATGGGTCACTTTACTAAGGCTCAAGAAGTTTATGAAGAGTTAGTTCGTCAATCAAATGATGAAAGTGACAAGGCATCTATTTATCATCAACTAGGTGGGATTAAAAACAATGAAGGAGAATATGAAGAAGCACTTTCTTATTATGAAAAAGCACTTGCTATCTATCAAGAAACACTTCCTGCTAATGATATTACTTTGGATAATATCTATAACGACATCGGTGTGTTGTATCATAGCATGGGTGATTATCTAAAAGGACTTTCATTTGATGAAAAAGTCCTTGAAATCAAACAACAATCACTTCCGTCCAATCATCCTGATTTGGCTACGTCCTATAACAATATGGGTAATGCATATTCAAAAATGGGTGATTACCCCAAATCACTTTCTTATTATGAGAAAGCTTTTGAAATTCGACAACAATCACTTCCTCCTAATCATCCTGATTTTGGTGCTTCCTATAGTAACCTTGGTATGGTGTATGAAAGCATGGGTGACTACTCAAAATCACTTTCTTATTATGAAAACGCCCTTGAAATTCGACTACAATCACTTCCCCCCAATCATCCTGAATTGGGTGATTCCTACAACAACCTCGGTACGGTGTGTGACAGCATGGGTGATTATCCTAAAGCACTTTCTTATTATGAAAAAGCTCTTGCAATCACACAACAGTCACTTCCACCCAATCATCCTAGTTTGGGTAGTACTTACAACAATATCGGTATGGCATATAAGAACATGGGTGATTATCCGAAAGCACTTTCGTCTCATGAAAAAGCCCTAGAAATTCAGCAAAAATCACTTCCTCCCAATCATCCTGAGTTGGGTACTTCCTATGACAATATAGGTATGGTGTATTATAGCATGGATGATTATACAAAAGCACTTTCTTATTTTGAAAAAGCTCATGCAATTCGACAACAATCACTTCCTTCCAATCATCCTGAAGTTGGTGTTTCTTATAATAGCCTAGGTATGGTATATGACAGCATGGGCCACTATCCAAAAGCACTTTCTTATTATGAAAAAGCCCTCGAAATTCAACGAAAATCACTTCCATCCAATCATCCTGATTTTGGTGCTTCCTATAATAACCTTGGTATGGTGTATGATAGCATGGGTGACTACCCAGAAGCACTTTCTTATTATGAAAAAGCTCTTACAATTAAACAACAATCACTTCCATCCAATCATCCTAGTTTGGGCAATACTTATAATAACCTCGGTATGGTATATGAGAACATGGGTAACTATTCAAAAGCTCATTCCTGTTATAAATGTGCTTTAGAAATTGTAGAACAATCATTGCCAACAAATCCTCTCAAGTTTCAGACATTTGGAGAAAACCTTGAACGCGTAAAACAGAAATTATAATTTGTTTTTGTACTTTTTTTTGAAAATGAAATAAAACTGATGAACAAGAAAATAGTAACACCTAGCGTGTGGGTGTGAAAGAAAGACACCATACCCACACCCCACCTTTAAGATGGGAAGGTACACAGTGTTCGGTATGAAGCGGTAATCGTATCGCAGTTTCTCCTGCTCATGCACACATGCTTCAGAGATTTCATTGGCATTGTCAGTTGGATCTTTTTAGTTCAAGGTTATCTTTTATTTCCAATTTGCAAAAGAAAAAAATGTAACTGTAAGAACAAAAATAAAGCTGAATGGAGTGTTCCTTGCTGAGTTTCCACTGCCCTCGCCCCCATCACCGCCACCGCTGCCACCCTCACCCCCACTACCGCCTCCGCCACCGCTGCCACCCTCACCCCCACTACCGCCCTCGCCACCGCTACCACCCGCACCTCCGCCTTCGCCGTCAGCAAACACCTTTCGAACTGCTGCGATCATTTGAGGGCTATTACACCGATCAATATTACAACTAAAATGCACATAATCATAGTTGGATTCTGCGGGACCATCGATCACATGGACCGTATCACGTTGTACAGGAATCTCATCATTGTAATTAGTTAACTCACATTTTGGCTGTGTCTTTAATCCAAATGGATTTCTCGGCTGACCATCCATTCTAATGATATTGCGTTCGTCGCTGTAGCTGCATAATCCACTGAAACAATCCATAAGCTCACTGGAGCTTGTGTAGCATTGTTTGACTTGTGGCGTAGTACTGTAAAGTAGATCGGTAAGCTTTTTTCCTGTGACTTCCGGACTCACGCTTTTGAGAAGACGATCCAAGTTCCTTTCCAGGTACTTCTTGTTGCACTCTTCTTCACCTGTCCTGCAAACGTACATCCAATCATGCCACGAATCGAAGCCGTCTAATTTTATATAATATCGCGACCATAAATTTAGTGCTTGTTTTATCCCATTCATAATCACTTCATCAAAGTCTGTAGTGCCGAACCTTATTTCTACCGTATCATATGGAGAATCCATTACAATCTTCACAGCACACGCTGTGTCCGAAATCACCTGCTTGCACTCTTTAGGCCAAACTAAAGGTTCGTTGAGCTTGTGAGTAAATGTACAGTTTATCACACATGTATGAGAACGAGCGTGTTGTTTCAGATTGCTTACTGTTTGAATTAATCCTCCTGCCACAAAATTCTGGGTTCCAACATACGAGAGAAGTAGAAAAACGACCAAGGTTAACGAAAACATCATTTTTTAAAAGTGAAGTAAGCGCAAGAAAGCGAAGCCTTTTATACTGTACATAAATGAAGACGTTACTTTATCGTTACTTTATAAATAAAGATAAAACTATCTTTGACAGTTTTCTACGAATATTCGAGTGGAGAACATCGACAACAGATCTTTACTTTTTTTTCCGCGAAAACATCAGTTTCCAACAAATAAAACGACACTGAATCATCGCTTTGATAACACACTCATTCTCTGACGTGTGGCAAAAGAAATGAATGAAGTTACCGTCATTATCACTGAGTTGCATATCATTGATCTTCAACAATGAGTCTTTCGGCTACGATGTGCATGATGTCATTTTATTATCTCTTGTCGTCAAGCTTACAGGGTGACAGTGTGGGTAACAATCACAAACCATCCTAATGAAATGGCCAATATCCATTCATCCACCTACGCACATCCACACCCACATCTCCATTAACACCCACACGCACACCCACACCCACCC